AAAGCGGCATGATGTGTGCAGGTTGCAGCGGTTTTGTTCCGAAATAAGCTAAAGAAGCATGATGAGTGCAGGTTGCAGCAGTAGAATACACGTATCTCCGTATGGGGTTCTCCAGGGACCTAATGGAGCATGTTTTATGTTGCTGAAATGAAGTGTGAAAGAGGTTTGGGAACTCAAACCAACTGGCCTAGCTCAGTTGGTTGAGTTCACATTGCTATGGAATCACATGAGCAAATGTGACTCTGAAATTACCTGGGGCTTGTCAGTTCAAAGATGATATCTCAAGGCTGTCAGCATTTGAAAAAAGAGAGAACATTACTGAAAACATACGCCATCAGATAATTGAAGTGATGGATTATGTAAGGGACTTGGAAAATGAAAAACAACGTATGGCACGAAGCAAAAATTGAGAAAAGGGGAGGGGCAGCGGCCTAGCTCAGTTCGTAGAGCATGCAAGTGGCGTTCAGGAGTCGTGGGTTCGATTCCCCACGTTGTTCGTTTGATTCCCCACAATCCCTGCGGCGCGCTTCGGGTTCACCAGCTGAGATACTTGGCTTTGCCCCGCCCCCCCTGGTAGGGGCTTTTCCTTCGTCCCTTCCATCTGTCACTAGGGGTTGGGCTCAACCCTAAGTGGGCTAGGCCCAACCATATGAGGGAGGGGGCGGGATTAGGTTTTGGTCCCAGGGGAGGGATTAGCTGTGGGACGGAAGGTGAGATTTGCGGTTGGGAGTACTAGGACTTTGTACCAATAGGGTCGCTTGTAGGGCCCTGGGCCCTCTATACATGAACAGGAACTGCTTGGAACAATAGGTGCCCTTCGCGCACAATTTGGGACCCTCCGAATTGTCGGTCTCGCCAGTCTGTACTACTCTTTGGGGTTCCATGGCAGAGTGAACGCTATGTGTCCCATCACTATGATAACCACTCAAGAGTCCACACATAGCGAAACCTTAACTACGGTAGGATCCGAATAGGGTAGTGGATCCAAATATGGTAATGCTGCGCACACACAGGGTGTTAGTATGGGGAAGGGTGCTAGACACTCTTGATCCCAAAGGTACCATATGATGCCTGTGAGATGGTGCTTCATCCAGGTTGGGGTCCATTGGGAATTTTCATTAGGGTCTTCAACTGGATTAGGGCCCCTCAAGGGGAGCGTGGGATAGGGTGTTAGTATGGGGAAGGGTGCTGGACACTCTTGATCCCACAGGTACCATATGATGCCTNGTGAGATGGTGCGTCATCCAGGTTGGGGTCCATTGGGAATTTTCATTAGGGTCTTCAGCTGGATTAGGGCCCCTCAAGGGGAGCGTGGGATAGGGGGCATCGTACTTAGGGAGGGAAGGAGGGATATCATACCTTATTGGAAAACACTGGAAATGTAGGGTGGTTCACTGCCAACTAGAGTCTGTGGGATGAAGCACAGATGGGGGATGACCGCATCGCAAAGACCCCACGTTGGGTCAGCGAACCGCTCCTTGAGGAGCTTGAGGAATTGAGAAAGAGGAGTAACTTTGGAATATGCAACCAGGTTGTTTTCACAACCGGCTGTACGCGCAAGAGACCTGGCAAAACTAGCCGCTTCATCTTTGAGGGCCTGGAAGGCCACAAGGACTTGTTCCTCGACCAAGATATGCTGCAAATAAATATAACTATTGACACTGGCTTCCCAGTTGTCAAAG